GTGTGACGAAAAGGCGGAGAAAAGCGCCCAAGAGCAGGACCAGGACTCTCTGTGAAAATGTGAGAAATCTCAGTTGAGTGAATGGCAAATGGTAGGGACACCACCACTCCTCAGTGTCTTGTCTTTCCAGCTCCTGTCAGGAAAGCAAAGACTGAGGAGACACTCGAAATGGACGAAGGAAGGAAAGTATGATTTTGTAATAAAGCGAAGTAAGTCAGCGTCGAGGGACCGAGGACCCCGACTTCCCCTTCCTGCCAGAGCGATATTAAGCCATTTTGTATTAACGCTTCCCTCGTTTTATTTTCAATTCAACCGCCATCCGATTCATTCCATTTCCAAATCCTTTATTGGATTTCACCAATCGCTGTGGCACTTGTCATAATTTCCCAATTAACATGCCGGGCTTTATGCAAATGCACAAAACCACTTTATTTTCCTACCTTTATGCATTTTAATTGGTTCTGTCGATATCTGGTCTAATTAGTTTCCAATTGAATGGGAAAAGTGCAAATAATAGCCCCTCTGTTGCCATGAAACGGAATTCGCATTAATATCTGATCAGCCGGCACATAAATAATTCAGGCAGTGCGACACATAAATTATTTGGCAACAACATTTGGCCGAATCATGTCCAGACCCTACTAATTCGGACCAAAGCCCCTGCCTGAATACAAATGGCGACGGGCTAAGGACTAATGGCATCGCCAGGACACGAGAAAGTGAAAGCTAAACGAAGTGCTGTCCATTTTGGAAAAGGGATAAAGGATAAACCACAGACCACCCGCCCGACCACTTAATCAGTGACGTGAGCTCTGCAAACTGCCAGCTGCAGCTTCCGGTGCTGCAGCCACAGAAAACCACAGCAAACCACACGTGTGACAGTCGACCACAAAACACAACCGATGTGCAAAAGGCGATTAAAGACATTTTTCCTTTATTGGTCGTCATTCCCTACACAGGCAGAAAATACTTTCAATTGTAGAGCGATATTTGCAACGATTTAACAGAGGTTTGTATATGATATATTTACAATTAACTGGGAACTAAGTTGCTTTACATTTTCTTTGTTTTAAAGAAAGCTTTAGTAAATTAAACCTTATAGTAAATTAAACCTTTTAGAAGAAAAAATAGAATTCAACTCTTTTAAATTTCAGATTTATTAAGGCAATTCAATCAGCATAAAATAAAATAAATAACGTATTGATAACAATATTTATCACAATCATATGGAAATTTAACATTTACACTTGAAAAACCATATTGATATTTTGTAAATTTCTTCTTTTCAGGATTATTTCTCCTTTAATATTTTTTAATGTCTCTGTCTTTTTAGATTTTCTGTGACTGTGACAGTAGTGCTAAAATTTTGAATATTTGCATTAAACTAGGCCAACATAAATTTAGCCAACTGTGACATATTTAAGCCACTTAAAAACCTCTGAAACAAGTTTGCCAATTAAATCAGATTTATTCATATTTGTAATGAAAACAAATTGTTTAGCCTGTGTGAAATATTCGCTAAATTCCGCAAACAGTTGCACGTTGCGAAAAGTGAGCCAAAAGTTTGCCACTCTCTTGTTCGTCACACCACCACTCCCAAGGATGTAATTAATTTGCAACATGCAGTCAGCTCGTGGTCCTGCTTCTCCTCCTGGTCCTGCTCCTGCTCCTCCTTGGCTGCTGTATATGCAAAACTTTTCGCTGGTGTGGCTGACGGTGCCGTAGAAACTTTCTGTCTGATAAATTGAATCAACTAAGGCTATGGCCATGGGAGCCGTCAAATTGCAATTAATGGAATTCGCAATCAAAATGAGTTTCTGCTGGACATTTCTCATTATCACAAAAATGGAACACTAAAGTTTATTGCAATAAAATTATGCACTTGCAGTGAGAATATATGATTTGATAAAGCATACAAGTCAATTTATTTATATTAGAAACTTTATGGATAATTAAACCTTAAAGATAAACTATCTGCTATTATTAAAAATCCTTTAAAAGTATTCTCTTGAAAATGTATACCCAAATTTCAAGTCTTATTCCGTACCTAGTAACCTGACACTGAATGTCAGTTTTCAACACGAACCAAAGCATAAAGTTTCCAGTGCTCAATGTGAGATGAAATTAGAGTCCTGGCACTTGGTCACTAAGCTGCAAAACTGCCAACTGCCAACGTCAAACTGCAGTTTCAGTCAAATAAAAATGGCAGCATCACAAAACGAAATGAGAGCTGCTGAAAAGGCTCTGAAATGCTTTTATCCAGCAATTTATTGCCAGCTATTAGTATATGTGTCCGAAATTGTGTGCTTCCATTGAAAATGAATTGCTTTTTAGGTAACCCGAGTATTAGAGCAGGTCTATGTTCTTTCTAGGGGCGTTTCAATACGTGGTTTTATTTCTTCTCCTTTAGGAGAAACATTCTGCGAAAGTCGTCCCGGATTAGGGGGCGCTTAGGTGCGAACAGTTTGCAAAGAGCTTGCCATGAATTATAAAAAAACATCGCTGGGCGTTTACGGCTTTGCCTGCTATTTCGACCTTGGCGGGGTGAAATAAGTGAATTCGCATCGCATTTTTCCCCAGAATTTAAAGGTAAGTCAGGGGATTTTCCGCAAAATTGTTCATCAAATAGTTTTGCGGCAAAACGGCATGAAATTCCTCATTGAATAGTTGGGAGAAAAAAGTTCGGCTCGTGGCGGGTATTTTATTTCCGAGGCCTTTGAAAAGCTTTCAACAAAGCACTCAATCAGTTCCTAATGACGGAACTAAATGCGCATCTAATACCTTGTCTCATCCTTGGTCATATTAAATATTGAAGGCTTCGTCGACTTTGATGGGCTGACATTCGAGAAGTTTAGTGAATTTTCGATTCGATTCGATTGGACGCCGTTCCAGCCGGTTTTTCCACTGGGTCCGTTGGGTCAAGAACCTCGGAATAAAAGCAACAGAGCCCAAATTACAGGCTTGGAACAAAAGGAAAAGCCGTAAAGTCAAGTGACGGCACAAAAACCAACTAAGGTGGACCTTAGTTGTAACTGGATTTTAGGGGAAACTACTTAGCCTTTCGTGTTAGCCTTTCCAATAAGTCCTTGATTATCAGATACCTGATCTTTGATACTATATCTTAAACAACCATTTTTAAAATAACTTATTAATTTTATAAGGAAAATAAAATTGTTTGTAGGGGTTTGGAATGTGCATGAAATAAAGCACAAAACAAATTATTTATGAGCTTAAGTTCCAGTTCATTTACTTTTATTATTTTATAAATATTAGCCTTTTTTTCAATATATATTTTAAATCTCTAATATTTTCCTCACAGGATCACCCTATTTTGCTTGTATATTAAGAAAGTGAAGGCGGTGCGTCATATCCGGTTAGGGCTGCCATATTTATTGGCTGTCGTGTGAGGGAAAGCACGAGGAAAGTTTTAGGGGAAATCGAACATTATGCTCACACGTGGAAGGGGCGAGAGCAATTGAGTGACTTATTACTTCGCATTATCCTGTGGCTTAGTGCGCCGCCTCAACGCGGACAGCCATCGATTTTGTGACCTCCTCGCTTAAAGCTACTCCATGGGCGACGGCGAACATGAAAACAAATACTAAATACTCGTTTTGTTCATATTTCTAGTTAGTGTTGTCTGTCTGTGTCCCAAGTGTCCTGGCTGTGTGACGATGTGTGCGGGACAGTTGCCCATAGTTACGCAGGACCCAAACAACGACGTTCAGTCAGTGCGATGTTGGTGCGGGGAGTCCAGGACGAAGTCTTCATTAATCCTTTGTGTATATTTAGCGACCGCTTTATGAGTTGACGGCCATATATCTTCCTGTTGATTTATGCCAAGTGCAAATTGGCTTCAGTGTTCCTTTTCACTTTGTGACCCCCTTTTTCGTTTTTTATGGCCGAAATAAATTTGGGTTTATTTTAACTCGAGGAAATTACCCCAACGTTTGTCCAGAGAGATGAATGGAGAATGCAATCCTTGCAAAGGATTCTATGCTTCGGCATGACTGGGCGTTAGTTGGTAATTTAATGTATGTAAATATATTTTCAACCCATATTTGAAGCTTAACTTTAAGAATACCATACCCATACTAATCCTGGGGATTTGTTTGGACAAGCCTTAGTGAGAGGCAATCATGGAATGTGTTTGACCAAATAAGAGCATTAAATCAATTAAATTTCTGTCGATATGAAATCCCATTCGAAACATTTGTTCCGGACAATAGCTTTTGATTCTAAATTGTCTTGGAATTATGCTTCCATGTGGTCCTGCCATTAAGGAGCCTCGACGACCCGTGAAAAGCTTTTGCATGTTTTATAAGCCAGCACGACACGGAATCGAACCAGCTCAAACGACCTGCAACTTACCACTTGGCAACCACATCGAAGTCCTTCGATTTGGGTGTCAAAAGTGGGCGGGATCGCAGCCCGTGCCACCAACATAATTAGGGCCAATGACAGTCCCTTCTTGTTGCAGCCAGTGCACCACCCAAGCCGCACTCCCGGAAGCCTTCGGCGGTTGGCTTCGATTTATTTGGACCTCGTTGCCCCGGGCAACAGACGGCCAGGTGGCCACGAGAAATTGGGCACAACAAAGCGTTTCGGAAAAGGCGTTGAGGCACTTGGGTGTTGTTGGGATGGAGCGGTCAGATTTGCGGTTGAAAGGACGGGAAATGTGGGTGCTGGACCCATCCGGCTTATAGGGATTGCTTGTTCAAGAAAAGTTTGGTTTTCTTTTCTCTTTTACAAATTTTCACCACTCGGCTGGCAATGAAAACAAGAGCGGGAGAGTGGCATTGCTGGCAAGCCCTTGCTAAAATTAAATATTCTTTTGGAAATATTTTAGCCGTTAAAGTTAGAATTAGAAAGCTTAAGTATTAAATTTGTACATTTACAATTATTTTGTAAGTTTTATATTCTGGTAACACTGGACCGTACTTGCCAGCTCTTATCTCTCTGAGACTTTTAAAAGCTCAATCTCAGCTTCACTGAGCTCACTTGGTGTCGACAAGCCGATCAGACTATAGCACGACTTATCTCTTATCAGTGAAATCGAAAATGTATAACCCAAGTGTTTTTATAGCCATTGTGGCTGTAGTATCGCTTTTTATATCTGCGGGGGTATCCGAGATGATAACCTCCGTTCAGTTGCAAGAGGTGAGCTAAGGACCTTTACTCGATTCACATAGGGTATAACTTTACTCTTCTCTTAGGAATTCAAGACTACGGCGGACATACTAGCATCTGTTGATAAACTTTTGCTCGAGTAAGTACTATATGAAGGGTCAAAAAGTCCGGATTAAGTCTGTTATTTTTCATCAGCTTGGAGGCCCGCCGGGAGTCACTGCAGCAGACGAGAGAGGCAATTACCCAGGGCGATGAGGGTATCTATCCTACCTCATGCCTGATTAGGAATCATCACAACACGAGCGTTATTGTTCAGGTGCCGGGACACCAGGCTTTCCCGGCTCTCTGTGACTCCGAGTTGGCCGGCCAAGGCTGGTTGGTCATTCAGAGGCGACGCGATGGTCTGGTCAATTTCTACCGCGACTGGAGTGATTACAAAAAAGGATTTGGCAACTTAAACGGGGATTTCTTCATCGGTCTCGAAAAATTGCATTTGCTGACGACATTCCAGCCTTTCGAACTTTATGTTCATTTGGAAAACCAGGCCGGAGTGGAAAAGTTCGCCAAATATGATGAGTTTGCCATTGGCAATGAGTCGGAAAACTACCATCTGAAGATACTGGGTAGTCACTCGGGCACCGCCGGCGACTCGTTAATCTACCACAAGGGCGAGGCCTTCTCCACATTCGATCGGGATAACGATGCCCACAGGAAAAGAAATTGCGCCCAATACTGTCTAGGGGCTTGGTGGTTCAAATCTTGCCATCAGAGGTATGTACGTTATTTTTATTAAGTTAATTTTAATGACCTTCTTCTTAAAAATGTTTTGAAGCAGATTTTTATAAAAAGTGTGTTTTAGAAGATTTAAAGTATAAACTCTATTATTTGATTAAATTATAAAATTAAATATCTTATAGCAATCTAAATGCTCAATATTTGGACTTCAAAAATGGAAAGGATGTTCTGGAAACGCCCCCGGAAAATTTCCGGTACATGTCCTGGAGTTCATTTGATTCGAGTTCAAATGCAAGACTGAAATTCGTTCAAATGATGATTCGTCCAAGGTTCGGATGTCTCTAAAATTACCAATTCATATGAACTACAGGTAAAAATATTTGAATAGCATAGAGTAATATTATTCAATATAAAATGTACATCGTAATTCTGCAGATTATTACTTTCTCAGTATAGAAATTAGATTTTATATATTCTCGATATCGATATGGTTAAAATAAATTTAATTGAAAACCCTTTCTTTTTTATAATAAAATTTCTTCAAAACTTTGCAAAAAATTAAAGTGAGTCATAAATATTTCTGCTATCTGTTATTTCCCCTTATTTCTTCTGTCAGAACCTGCTGTACAGGTTCTTAATCACCAAAAGAACTATAATATATTTCTATATACATTATTTTTTTTCAGAATATAGCAAGATCGTCATCAAATATTACAACTGTGTGTTTATTATATACCCTATGAAAGAATAGTTTAAATTTGTTCAACACGTAAAACTTTCTCTAGAAACTCTGGAAACTATATTTCCATGACCCTCTTCTTCGTGTAACTTGTTCTAAATGGTTGTTTTTAGGACTTTCTCCTGGAAAGCAACTCTTACCTGTTGTTCCATTTTCTGATTGCGACTGCTAACCGCGGACATGTTAGCGAGTTGCGTTGAAATTTCCTGGGAGAAAGCTATGTGGTTCACTGGTTCTCCAATCAACTACAGACGGACGTCATTTGGCAAATTCCAGGACGACAGCTGGGGTGCAATGTTGTGAAAGGAATCTTTGCAGCAAAACAAAAAAGGACAAAAAACCCGAAACAACAAGCAAGAACCAGAAGAATCGGCCAAGTCCAAGGCGGACACACTGACGCACACCTGGTGGCGGCGGGGTATACCGTTCAACTCGTAAGTATATATGGTATTCTACGGATTGTAGCTCTGTAGTTTGTGGCTGGCGGCACACGCGACACTAGAGACCCAACGGCAAGGGGTGTTTATGAGCGACAAAGAGAAAGACAAAAGACAGAGAGACCGAAGGGAGCAGCCGGTCACTCGCTCTTCCACCGCGATCGATTGTGAGATCGGGACACCAAATGTTTGCTTTGTTCACCCTCTTCTTGAGTCACCAGAAATATCAATATAGCAGTGGTAATCTCGGGACGATGCCTCACTGCTGTGTCCACTCGGTTGGTAGAATATTTGTCAATTGATTGGCTTTGGCGCCTCTTTTTTGGTAAAGGAGCAAAGGCGAAGTAACCCGACGTCCGAACCGCACTGCACGCTGTCAAAACAACAACTGGCCAGGCAACCCCTCTCTAAGGACTCTACTTTACTTCAGGGGAACGCCGTGGAATCGAAACAGCGTCAGCCGAAGTGAAACCCGAACCCTGTCGTCCTGTCGTGTGAGAGCGCGAACACTCTACGCTCTCTAAACTCAGCGTACCGCCGTTGCCCCTTCGCCTCTTAGACTCCTCGAACGAACAGATGTGCAGCTGCCGAGTGCACTTGGATTTGTATCCTGACGCTTCGTCCTGTCGCCGCTGCCTAAGTCCCTGCCTCTCGCTGGCTGGGATTATCAGAAGCATTCCTGAACAAAGTATCCAATGCTCACACATGCATTTGATAGTTGCATTCTGTATGGGGAACTAACGAAGATGGACTTAATTGATTAGTAACTTAATCACTTTAAGCACTTTTATCCAATATTTATTTATTTATTTTAAATTAAATTGGACGTTCAAGTTCGTTTATCCTTGAACTTTTTAATTGGAGCATTCGGTCAAAATAAAAAATAAAAAATAAAGGTTTTATGTTGGCTTACCTTTTCTAGTCTTAATTAAACTCTAATCCATTGTCAACTGTCATATTTTATTCAATTAACTTTAGACTTAGCCTAGGATGGTGACAAGTAAAATTAAATAACAAATAATAAATAATGTGTGTGCAGAAGTTCTCGTAAATTCGATTAAAATTGCCATGTCATTTGTGCGGTTCCTTACTAGTTAATAACATTGTCAGGCAGGGTTTTCCTTCTTGTCGTTGCCTTAGAAGAATCTGTGCTTTTTCTTCTTCTTGTTCTCCCCTTCCGCCGGCGGCTGGGGCTCCACGGATACCTGACGTCTGGGCAAGAGTGGCGGCGGACTCACATCCGTATCGCGGCTTCCATTGACTTCCACTCCGTTAAACGCTGGCGACAGGGGACGTGGTGTTCGCAGAATGGAGGGCAATGGGGGCACGGGCGAGTGGCCGTTCGCCTCATGACCGTCCTCCTCGATCCTGTCCAGACGTGATCCATGCACCGAGGCCAGCTCGGAGGGAGTCTTCACCTGGGAGCCGCCCTCATCGCCGAACTCGCTGGCCATGTTCATGCCGATGGTGGCGCCCACCTTGGCGCTGGCCCGCTTGAAGTGGTCACTGAGCTTGATCTGCACCACATTGATGAACATGGAGGTCAGGGCCAGGCCGAAGATCAAGTAGATCATGCTGACCATCAGGTAGATGGGATTGCTTGGCACCAGGTCGCCGAAACCGATGGTGGACATTGAGATGAACACGTAGTAGAAGGCATCGAGGGGCTGCCATTCCGACTCCACCATCACGTAGCCGGCGGTGCCCAGCAGGATGTAGGAGATGAGAAGGAGAGAGGCCACCGACACTGGTAAATTGAACTCATCGTCCACCTCGAAGGTCTCTGGGTACGGCGATGTGGGTGTCTCCGGGTGCGATGTGCCCAGTGAGCGCCCTGCCTCCGCATCTTGCGACTCCTCGTCGTTCTCTTCGCCAGACTTGCCGAAGAACATGCTGGGTCGCCGGATGGCCATGTCGTACACAGTATTAAAGCCAGTCATGGCGTCCCGGATCTGCTGTTGCTTCCGGATCCGCCGGCAGGAGCGGGTGTAGTACACGCGCCGCACATACGCCCACAGGAACTTGACGCTGCGCGTGAAGAGCTTTCCCAGATCGGCCAGCACGATCAGGAACATGGGTATGCCAATGATGGCATATATGACGGTCAGTGAGCGTCCCAGATTTGTCTTTGGAGTGATGTGACCGTAGCCTGTCGAAGACAACATGGGAGAAAATTAATTAATAAATTAACTAAGTGATTCAATAGAACAAAAATTCTTTCTACAAGGAACAACTTAGGTACAAGATCTTCTGCTTAAAGGTCAACAACTGCTCGAGCAAATTAAGAATAAACCTTCCATCGATGACTTCTATGCCGGTGTTACCTATGGTGGTGACTACGGTCCAACAGAATATAAAGCAATTGATAAAGTTCCAGGACTTCTGGCCGGGATAACGTCGTAGACCCAGCTCAGCCAGAGTGTTCAGTTCGTCCTCAAATTTGCGCAACTTTTGGCGTGCAAGAGACTTCCAGTCATCCTCTCTGTGGCAAAGATACAAACAGGTCACTCGCCGCACCGGCCTTCCGGGTTCTTAACCAGCCATACCTCATGTTGTGGCTGACGTCCCACAGGTTGTCGATGAAATCGCGCTTCACCTTGCGCACCTCGCACTTGTAGATGTTCTCCGAGGCTCCTTCCGTATACCGGAAGAGGAGCCCTCCGAATCCCAGAAGCATGGCCAGCAGTATACAGTGGGAGATACAGTGGTTGCGAAGGTGACGCATCTCCTCCACGCGTTGTGGGTAGTCCAGCTTGAGGCGCCTCCATTCGTGGCCCGACTCCAGGCGGAAGTGGTAGAGGAATGCCCGCGAGGCTATCTTCTCCGGCAGAGGTTTTTCAGTTAAATCCGTGACATCTTCGGCGGCAATCTTTTTCTTGCGGCCAAACCAGTTCCTAAGGCGCTGCATAAATGTTGGCTTGACTTCTAGTTCTACCTTGGGGATTGTGTCTTCTTGTTGTAGTGCTACATCCAGCTCAGCTTCTGGTTCGGGATCTGGTTCAGCACCTTCTGATGACTGAGTGGCACTTTCTACTTTCATAACATTCTCTCCTCTTTCCAGGCTGCCCGATCGCTTGGCCCTTAAGGGGCGCTCCAAGCTAGAGCTCCGCTTAGTCTCCGTTTTCGTGGACTTCTCCTCCTTCTCTGCCAGCCGCAAGCTATTGCTCCGACGCACTCCCTCCGCCGAAAGGGTTTGCGCTGCCAAAGCTGCCTCCGCCTTGGCCGCCCGCTCTGCCGCCTCCATGTACTTTCTCATGAGATCCGATTGCTGCTCCGCTTCTGTGGCCCGGGGCTTGATGGCCTCGCTCTTGGTCTCCCCCACTTCCACGTACTCGTGCTTGCGAAGGATCTCCTCCCGCTGCTCTGGTGTCTTGGAACGACGTTGTGGTCTCACCGGCGACAGGGAGTTGTTCCTGCTCACGGAGACTCTTTCTGGAGGCTTTAGGGGAGCTGAAGGAGGCGGTGGCGGAGCTCCACGAATCGGAGCAGCTACGTAACCCGGCAGGGACTTGAGTGGTCGTGCCCGAGTGTGCATCTCCTCCGCTGGCTCTGCATCGGAGGAGCTAAACTGTGTGGAGGACTCCTCGTAACCGCTACTACGATTGCGTCCTCGGACTTTGGGCGCCTCGTGCCTCTGGAGGCGCAGACTATGGATGAGACGGCGGCGGTCCTCCTCGTCCTGTGGGAGCTGTATGCGATCGCTGAGCTTGCGGTAGCTCTGGAGCAGACGCTTCCGCTCCTCGTTGTCCAGCTGCTGGCGGTGGCGCATCTTATGCTCCCGCTTCTCGCGCTCGAATAGACGCTTCTCGGCGTCAAACCGCCGACGCTCATCCTCGAAGCGCTGCAGGTTCTGCTCCAGCCGGGTGAGAGTGTCATGCGTCTGGCCAAGACTGATTGGTGGCATCTTCTGTTGCTGCTGGCTGCTGCTGCCGGTGGTCATCTCGCTCTCGCTGGACTCCTCCTTGTGACGCGGCGAGGACAAGCTGCGGTGCTTGATCAGATGGTGGGCATCCGGGCTGCTCAGCCTCTCCGCTTCCCGTGGCTGCGAATGACTGCGCGACGCGGTATTGGCAAAACTCTTATCCCGCTTCCGGAGGATCTTGCTCTCGTGGGCGGACAGAGTGCCTGGCGGTCGTATCTGCATGCGGACCATCTGCGGCGAGGGATCCGGATAGAGGGGGTCGTCTCTGGCCGGACTCTGGTCGCCCTGCATCTGGAACTCGGTGACGGGCGTGGGCTCGCGATGGCTCCGTCCCAGGCGTCGGCGGTGGCGCTGCTGGTGTCTGGCCTCCGCCGCCTGCTCCATGTCCATGTCCAGCCGCTGCCGTGTGCTACTTTCTCGATCTATCTTTGTGCTCGCGCTCATGTTCTGGCCGTCTATTTTTAACGGGCCAACGAGGCCTTCATATTCCGCTGATGAAAATTATGCCTCTGGGTAATTATATCACTTTTGGCTGCAGTGAACCCAGCTAGGGTCTCCTTTTAATCGAGATGGGACTGGGTGAAATATACTCGAGGTATCCTGTATTACTTTGACACTTGCGGTTACATATGCGAAAAAGTCTGTATCCGTATCTGTATCTGATTCTATAGATATTCTACAATTCGTCGCGAACCGAGAGATTGCTCTTTATGAGTGCTCGCTGACTCGACCACGGCTGGCATCCAACTGCTGAGAGCGAATAGAAATTTAAAAAATTTTCAATTTCACTTTTGTTGTCTATATTTTCGTGGCTGCCCAACAGCTGTTCCGCCATAGCCACAAACGTCGGAAAGTATCTTTTGTATTCGATGCATTTATATGTGATTTTGGGCTTTAGATTTGTTAAATCTTCATCTTCAAGTATACATGTTCTTCTTATTAAATTATTATAATAAAGGCATGTTCCTTTTCTTTTGCCAAAGTAAAATTATTTAAAAAAAAAGCTTTTATTAACAAAAGTTTTATTTGAAGTTAGCGAAAGTGTGAGTATTCCCTTAGGGAGTTTCCGTTTTAATTTCCAGTATTTGATATATAAAGTATATAATTCTTTGCAAATAAAATATGAACACCTAAGATTTGTATAGGATTAAGACCACTGTAAAAGCTATAAAGAGCACGAAAAGTTCGACACAGCTTGCCATTCAAACTAAAACATAGATGGCGATTTTAAATACATTTTCAAGAGGAGTTTTTTTTAAATTACAATCTTTGATATTCAACAAAAAATCCTTTCACAGAGCCTAACATTTTTAAAAATATGACACAATCGACAAAATACAAAGTTTAGAATTAATGAGCCATATAATTGGGAACGTTAGTTTATGTCATAATTTTCTTGAACTATTTCCGCTTTTTGTTTGGCAGAGAGAAATGATTTTATATATAAAAGAAAAGAAAACTGACTTCGGGAAGTCGAAGTTTATATATGTAGCCTTGCTCGAAAATCGATCATAGAAACACTCTTTGAATTGATATTTATCAAGATATATTATACGACAATTTTACAGGCAAATCGATCCTTAGTAAAAACTGCTAAAATTTAAATATTTGAAATATACTAAGCTATTTCAAAGTATTAATAATATTTAAAATATATTCGATATAGATAGTATTTTTGGCCAAATAACAGAGCCAGAATATTACACACTAAAGGGACTGATGTGAATCGAAAATCTTTACAAGTTGCGAAGCAAGAAAATTGTAAACATTAAATATCCAATGACCACCGGAAGTTTGAACCCTACTCAAAAGCTTTATGGAATTATAATTTATCAGATTTATGTAAGCATCCAACTCATCCGAATTCCCTTGAAATTGTATGAATTCTTCGGGATTTGTTTAAAACGCTTAACAATGCTTGGCATGGGGGTTTCCTTCCGCTTGCCACTAGCAACTAGCTGTTCGATTCGTGGATATAATTTGTTTAATTTGCAGCTGTTCTCGGAGCGAAACGAATATTTATTGAAAATGAATCGCCAACAAATTTTACATATTTTGTTGGACTTCTCGTATTTTATCATTATTCCCGGTGACGTCATTGTTGTTATAGACCATTTCGGCACTTTGCATTTTCGCATAAATTAAAATCTCTGGTAAATTTTCATCAGATACTTTTCAGTGCCGAATCGTTGATGACGGATCGTGTTCGCTTTTATGGAATTTCGCTGAGATTTTGTGTTTGTTTATTTTTCGCAATTTCATTCAACATTTTGGAATTGCCCTCGCGATTTGTTTTCCATTTGGGCATGCACCATTTTATTAAACTTGTCGGCCTCTGCCTCCTCCAATCGGCCGTCGAATGGCTTCACTAAGCGTTGTTATAATAGCGGCAGCAACAGTTTTATGATATTGCTTTTGGCTGGGGAATTATGAAGTGCTTTTCGGTTTAATGGTCAGTTCGGCATAGTGTTTACTTTGGGCATAAATCACTCGAGATTTTCTGCTCGAGACTCGGACAATTGACAATTTATTTCAATCGTTCATAATTTGTCTTGAGTCAAATTGGTTTGCTAAAAATAATCTTTTTACTCACGTGAGGATCAGTCAGTCCCTCTCGATTTCAAATTAACTGCACTGTGTATTATATCACAAATGCATCCTCAGGTTTATGATGATGTTTTGCTTACATCTTGTGCCAATTTTGACGTACTGTGAGTGTATTCAAAGCACTCACAATTTAAAATTCACATTTCTGTTTACCAGACACTTGTTTCAGAGCCAAATTCTGTCGTCGTAGTGGAGACCATAATTTAGATATTTGTGTTAATTGCTTTTGTGTTTCCACACTCGCAGGATTATTAGTATTTATTTCTTACTTGTCTGATGTTTTGGAAGCTTGGCCAAAGAGGAGCCAAGCGGTCAGAATTTATTTACTTGAAATATAAAAAATACATCTGGCAAATAGAGGCGACACTAAAGCCGCAGAGCATGTTAATCGAATAAAAAAGGGGTTATCAAACCATTAGCTAACCACATCACAAAAATTGAACATAATTTCCACGAAATAGAATAATTATTCAAAATCTTAGCGGTAGATTTGTTCGGACGAATTAATTTCCATTTTCGTGGCATGTTTATGGGCGTGAAGTCGTTTGCAAATTAAAAGTGAAATTATTGCAAATGCGATAGAGAATATGTATGTATGTATGGGTGCACCGAGGAGAACATTTTTGGGAAAATTCGAATGAGGTGAAAGGCTGTGTCGTGCTGTGCTGAGTTATTTATAAGTCCCAATTAAGAACGGTGACAGTATTCCAAAGAATTCGGACGCCACTCGAGAACGCTCTCATAACTGTCTGCACAATAAGAGACGTGATTTTTTATCACGCACAAGCGCCAACGACGAAGATCGCAAAAAAAATATTTAAAACTATTTCCATCTTTTGTGTCACATATGTATATTTGTTGGCTTAATAATGAAGAGGAACAGCGCAACATATAAATAGAAAGTCTTGCGACCTAAGCAAACATATTTTCCGTGCGTGGGCGTTTTTGCACCCACAACACACTTGGACCCCATGAAAATGATGCCCCCACTTCACTCACCTATTGTCGTGTAAATGGTGCAACTGTAGACCATGGCATTCCAGAAGGACCAAGGATCCGGCTTCTCGGCCAGTCCGTTCCTCAGCAGCGATTCCACCACAGATGGATGATCATTTATGATCCGCAGCACTTGACTGTCGAACTCGGTTTTTGACCACTGCAAAATTCAGGCATTGAATTGAAAGTTTGTAACCATTTTCATAAAGTGTGACATCTTACACCGCTTAGCTGTGGATCCCTGGTCATCTTGCGCATCTCCTCAAAGAATTGCTTTTGAAGTGCCTGCAGTTCCAGCTTCTCCAACTCTCCCTGTCGAACTGAAAGCATAATCAATCCTCTATTAGAAAGTAAAACTAAGTAACCCTGACCCGAGTGTAGTTCTCAACTTTTGCCCAGAGTCACAGAATATTGTATGGGAGCATTGCCAAGACATTTACGCGCTTGGTTGCCATAAATCAAAGGGATTTGGCTTTCCAAATAAGAGCACCAAGTGCATTTCTATGTACTGGGTGGTTCCATTAGGTAGATTTGCATGTTTTTTTTCCAGCCATAATACAACACTCACTTGTGAATGGAGAAGCCCCCATTTCCATCCGTTAATTAATCATCTTAAACTTGATTGTTTATACGACACATTGTTGATGTTTCATCAATGTCTATCTCCGAGATTCGATTGTACCTTCACCTATTCTGTGAACCGACTGATTCAGTCGTCTGCCAAACTGATGGGTCGTGTTTTTACGATTACAATTTGGCTCAGACATTCGGCAGCAGGTGTATTTATCCGAATGACTGGGAACTGTTTACTGTTTTCCAAACAAATTGCCGAAGAGCTTGATAAGCAAACAAAGGCGTTTATAGTGCACTCTGCGTCCGGAGACCTAATGAAAGCTTGTAGAGGAAATCAACTACACGGACTCTCGAAACACCACCAAATTAAACATTTCATCTGCACAAATCTGAACCAGATCCTGATAAGCTGTTAGCTTGATTTACCCCCTGAAGTACCTTCTATAGTCTGAAAGAGGAGGGCGCCTCCAACGCTGTAGAGGCCCAGGACGAAGAGCAGGAACATGTGCGTGAACCAGCGGCGCGACCACTTGCTGAACTTGTTGTACAGGCCAAAGGTGAACTTCTCGCCAAAGCTCATGCCCGACTTGGTGAGATCAAGGAATCCCTCGTAGCCCTTGGTCATGAAGTTGCCGGATCCGAAGGGATTGGCCACTGGCGGCCAGTAAGGACCTTGTGTGCCATAGTTTGTCTGCGCCGTGTAGGGTGGCTGGGCGCTGGGTGGCATCGAGGATTGGCCCATTGCCGAGCCGCTGTTCAGGTTGTGAATGTTAATCCGCGGCGGTCGGTTGGCCCTTCGCGAGGGCGGCGGTGTGCCGGGCGTTGGCGTGGGATTTTGACCCTGTGACATGGTATTCCGAGCTTTACCAACTTATAATTTAGTAAGGGATATTCACGGTTTTTATATGGCTTAAACTTTGATTGGGTTCACGATCGATCTTTAGTGGTAGAGTGCTTTCAATGTCACTCAAAACGTTGAACACTTTCTTGCCATAATTTCAGTTCCGCGCACTCACTCACATACGAATTTATTTATATATTTATGTATTATTTTTAAGTTTATAAGTAGAATTGCCGTCGTCGTCGCGTATTTGTTTTTCTCCGCGTATTTTTCCCGATGCTGCTGCTAGCCAGCTCTACCTCGCTTCCGACCGCCTCGTTCTTGAATCCAATGCGAACTGAACTGAAGCGAGCGTTTTGGCCAACATCGGTGCTGTTGTCGCTGCTGCTGCTGCTGCTGCTGCTGTTGCCAGCGTTTTAGTATTTGTATCCGCCTCGAGTCTCTGCCAGCTGACAATGACGACATCGACGGTCATGAGCTCACAGATTCCCCACCGAGGCTAACCGAGGAAAGGAAGCACAAAACTGATCTCAGCGTGGTAACTGATTAATTATTGCTTGGCTTCTCGTTCCCGCAGTTGCTGCTGTAATTCTCTAAGCGAGTTTTGATTTAAATAATGCGTAGTTCTTCTGATATCACTAGGTTGACCCGCAAAACCACATACATACTATACATACATATGTACATACGTACCATATACCTAGTTCGTTGGA